CACAAAAAAGTAAATATATGAGAGCTATTTTCGAGTGATTGTATATTTTTGTACGAGAACATTGAACAACAGAGAAAAATTCCAAGCTGTGGTGTTGTTATTTATATGAATTCATATTTGCATCGGATATCTTAATTGTGGCTATAAACATATTATACCTACATAACAATAGTTATAGGATGGAAAACTACCTTTGAATTTTTAATAAACATGTGATTTGCATGTGATATTTGTGATGATTCGTATTGTTTTGAACCATTCTCAATTAACAATTTTTGTTCGCTAAACGAACATCTTATGGACGTCCATAGGTGATCCGCATCAGAATATCCATTTGATATCCTCTGACGGATATCCTATGGATATCCATTTCATGTCCCAGGATATCCCGACCTGAAATGGACTTGAGAAGGATATCCATAGGATATCCTGTGTTATCTGGGTGAGGAACTCAATGATGAAAACCACATATCGATATCCATCTTGGTTTCAGAGTTACAAGCTGTTTTTCGAAAATATACATTTTTGAAAAGTGTCAAAATCTCTAATTTTCATAAATTCTTTGTATTCATGAAAACAATTCCAAAGCATTGTGTTTGTCCTGTTGATCCTCTGGCACTGAAATCAGTCATAACTAGTTTGAAAATAGAAGTTCTCTTCAAAGAACAAGTTTCATTCACGAACTATACAGGGTGGCCACTCTCTTAATGGTATTGTGGTAACTTACAAACCATAGTAGTTATAGAAGGTCGGTTAAATGGAGAAAAAATTGCAGGCAATATCAGGGCCGGCAGATCTGAAAATAAATGAAGAATAACCAAGAAACCCGAAATGATCGAATTTTGTTTCGTCATATCTCAAGAACCAGTGATATTTTCGATTAGTTTTCACTACTAGATGATGCTTTCTGATATGCACCTTTGAAAGCATGTGTACTGTGTAGGCACTAGCCACTTTTCGAAAATGCTCATTTTCAAATATCACCTTGTAATTTTGACACCACCATTGAGTTTGTCATGACGAGAATTGACCCACAGACACCGACATCAATTTTCTTATACCTAGTTCGGAGGCTTTTCATTTGACAGTGTCTAATTTGGCCCACCCAGTACAGTCGCGAACAAATGACATGTTATGTTTGTAACGATGGAGCGTTACATCTCTATGGGCAAATAAAACCATTCTTTTGGGGCTCCGCGCTTAGCTAGATCAGAATTTCTCATATACTCAGAAAAACAATTAAAAAATGCATACTCACCGGCAAGCGGTAACGGTGCTCGACACGAATGACAGAAGCACTGCATAACAGATTCTCTCACTAGACCGATAATCATTTCGATGCCGTTCCGTCGACCGGCCCACCAGGAAATTCGTCTGTCTGTCTGTCCGTTTGTCTGTCCGGTTGTCTGCCCTTGTTGTCTGTCCCTGGGAGTGACGTCGCTCCCGGAGCGAAGAACAGGTTGGTCTGGGGATCGGTTCCGGTACCGACGGACGAAGGAAATGGCGGAGGCGGCGAATCCTGCGACGCATCGACGCTCGAGGCGGTCGATACGGCGGGCGTAGTCGACAAACAGAGGCGGCACCAAAGGATGGGAAGGGGATACACTACCCCCGAATAGTAAAAAAGGTAGCACTTACATACCGCACCAATCGAAAATACACCATTACATCATTCATGATCAACAGTACCCGACCCATAATCAACAGTAACTGAATCTTAATCAACAGTACATGACTATTATTCAACAGTACTATCGGGGAAATCGATACGGCGGACGTAGTAGACAAACAGGGGCGGCACCAAAGGATGGAAAGGATATATACTACCCCCGATGATCAAAAAGGTAGCAGCTACATTCTGCACCAATCAGAAATACACCAGTACGCCATTTCTAATCAACAGTACATGGTTCATAATCAACAGTACTCGATTTTTAACCACTAGTACCAGAATTATATTCGACAGTACCCGACTCATAATCAACAGTAATTGACTCTTAATCAACAGTACATGAATATTAATCAACAGTACTATGGAGGCAATCGATACGACGGACGTAGTCGACAAACAGTGGCGGCACCAAAGGATGGGAAGGGGATACACTACCCCCGAATAGTCAAAGAGGTAGCAGAGCTATATTCCGCACAGTACTGGATTTTTAACCACTAATACTAGAATTATTCGACAGTATTCGACTCATAATCAACATTAATTGACTCATAATCAATAGTACATGACTATTAATAAACAGTACTATCGGGGCAATCGTATGGCGGGCGTAGTGGACAAACAGGGGTGGCACCAAAGGATGGAAAGGGGATATACTACCTCCCCATAGTCAAAAAGGTAGAATCTACATTCCGCACCAATCGAAAACACACCAGTGCACCATTTATGATCATTAATACACGATTCATAACCAACAGTACTCGACTCATAATCAACAGTAATTGACTCTTAATCAACAGTACATGACTATTAATCAACAGTACATGACTATTAATCAACATTACATGACTATTAATCAACAGTACTGTCGATAGTCAGTAAGGTAGCATCTACCTTTCGCATCAATCGGAAATACACCAGTTCACCACTTATGATAAACAGTACACGATTTAATCAACAGTGCTCGACTTTTAACCACTAGTACTAGAATTATATTCGACAGTTCTCGACTCATAATCAACAGTACATGACTATTAATCAACAGGCGATCGATACGGCAGGCGTGGTCGACAAACAGGGGCGGTACCAAAGGATGTGAAGGGGATAACCTGGCAGCACCAGTTTAAAAGGAGTGTAAAAAGACAGTATTACATTCAAGTAAAGTACAATGAAGCACAGTACATTAAAGTACAGTGAAGTGCACAACAGTTAAATACAGAACAGTGAAGTACAGTATAATGAAGTGCAGTACAGTGAAATAAACAGTACAGTGAAATAAACAGTACAGTGAAGTGCAGTAAAGTACAAAACTGTAAAATATAAATCAACAGTACTGACAAGCAAAGTAAACCTGTCACCACTAGTTTAGAAGGAGTGTAAAAAAATGCATTACAGTAAAGTACATTACAATAAATTACAGTACAGTGAAATACACAACAGTAAAATACAGAACAATGAAATACAGTACAATTAAGTAGATTTCAGTAAAGTAACGCACACTAAAATATAGTACGGCTCAGAAAAGTAGAGCACCGTACAGTACAATACAGGCAATCAACAGTACTCGACTAGTATTCTATTGTTCATCATTGAACAACGTTTGAAGTACAGGTGTACCGCAAGTTGCAGTACACAGTACAGTCGTCTCCAGAAAACATGTCGCACATCGACGATGATAGCATTCTTAATAACTCCTGCAATGAGGACGACAACACCGTTAAACCGCGACATGATCTCTGAAGACAACTGTACACTATTCACCTCGCAGTACTCACAACCTTACCCAATTGTTTGTAAGGTTTCTGCAAGATACTGTGGAAACCATCATAGCGTATTGGGGATATTCCGCGTGTTGCCCGGAAAATTCCGGAGTCTCAGCCTATGTCTAGCCCCTCTCCCCCCCATACCCCCGACAGTACGACGCCGACGTCTTCCATTATATGGGGCTATGCGTGTACGTGTCGTCAGTCCCTCGAGACATATCGTATATCGGCTGACGAACACATTAGCGGAGATTGAAGAAAAAAATAGGAACATAAATTTGCCACTGTCTTTTGTTTTCGAATTATATCTAAAAGTTGAATTTTTCCGCTCTCATACATATGCGAATATAAAGATTGTAATGTAAAGAGGAAATAACTTTCACATTCTCAAGACATTTTGTCTGTATATTACAGTGATGGCGACAAAATTTGAAAAAACGTGCAATTTTGAGTTATGGTCTGAAGTTGCATCTTTTACAAAATGAGAGTCATAGTAGCTGGTTATTATTCATTAACGGTATTTTTCCTTTCTAACCATGTATCCATGTTGAATCTCATTTGACGTAGCAGAAAATAATGTAGTGCCTTAAGAATTTAATAGTTGATTGTTTTATTAGGATCAAAAGTGACACTTTGTTTGACAGTCGAATTTCGATTTTGCGAGAAAGAAGTGGAAAATGGTAGGTTAGTGAGCATATCAATAATAATAATAGCGATTACTTATTTCTCTCCATATTCCACTGTTTAGCTCGGTAATCAAATGAAGGTAAACATTATCGTTGTGTCAGACAAAAAAGTATTGCTGGACGTGATTATTCAAAAACAATTTATCCAATCAATCAGATCCCGTGAATAAATCTTGAAGGCTTTCCTGATCAAAACAAGAATACTTACCAAAGATAACACTAAGTCATGGAAACCATCCATCCTTCTCAAAGTGGTCCAGATTTTTTTTTTTCAAAGAAAAAACACAAACGCTAAGTCGGTCGACCACAAAGTTTAATTACAAAAAGATTTTTTGTGACTAGTTTCGGCTCAAGCAGCCATCTTCAGACACAGTATAGTACCTGTAAAGATATTGGTTTACAAGAATATCCGTTGTTTATTCTTGATGACCTAGTACATCCCTTTTAGTCCCTGGAGCTAAAGTTCGACTTAACTTCTAAGAACTGAAAGTGTTGCCTAGCAATATACCTATGTTTGTGTCAGTAATAGAAAAGTCAATGAAAGAGCTAGTTTTGGTATTAAAATGGACGACTTTTGTGTCGGTTGCATAAAAAAGTTATTTCCTCCTAACATTACGAACAACCATAATATTCATATGTGTATCAGTCGAAAAATCGAACTGTTTATGACTAGACAACAAAAGACGATAGCAACTTTTTGTTTAAGCCAGTGAATTTGTCACAAAAAGGAAGATTGAGAATGTGATTCCATTTTTCATTTATCTCCTATAGTTACCGAATTACCCTATCGAAATACTCAGAATATTTTGTTTTAATCTACCGATTCTCAAAGTTAGATTGGTTAACCCCGGAACCTGTAACAGCCTGCAAAAAATTACTTACGTTCAGTAGATGATGGAACCTCAGTTGCAACTTCAGCCATTTTGAAATATTGTATACCTGGAACGAAAAGAATTGAATTGAAAAAAATTGTCATGTCACGAAAAACTCGTGCATGATTTTCCGCACGCCTATGTATATTTCATTTGCACGGGACAATCTGGACTTGGGGGAAAATACGGTTAATTGGCTCTCGTGTTTTCCTTTTTTTTCTTCCTGTCATCGACCAAAGAAGCTCTAATTCAACAGAAACAAACAAAATGATAAAGAGGTTATATTTTTAACGCAACAAAATTGGTAGGTAAATTAACAAAATAATTACAGCATGGCACTCATAATTAGATCATTGAAAAACAACAAATTTGTATTGTTCTCTTTAGTGAAAGGTTTAAATAAAAATAAACAATCATCCTGTATCTCAAAAGTTAGGACGTATTCAACATACGCGTTCATATGAAGTTTTATTCTTGGAATGGTCGAAGAATCGGCCCTTTGAATAATAGAATATCATTAAGGAACACCCTGTATATTTGTTATATATATCCGGGAAAAAGTACTCACTATTTTCCCGTGGGAAAAGTGACATTTTATAACCTGTCAACTGAGATGAAATTTCAAACTTTTTTTTCGTCACAGAAGAAACGAATTTTTTCTTGAAATCCAGAGGCTCTGGGCATATTTTCATACGAACTTTTCTTTTCAATAAAATGAGCTAAGGAACCATATCCTTTATTTTCAGCTATCAATTAAACTACACCTTGTATAAATATAGTATTTTGTCACTAATCAATTATTGGGAATCATCAAGTATTTTTATCCTACAGTACAGATGGTGGTTAACCTTTCAATCAATAAAACAAGTGTTCCTTTTGAAGTAAAATAATTCGAGCCACCCTGTATATATGCATTTTAATTTGCCGTCTCCCATTTCCGAGTCAGGTATTATTCATGCATCCTTCATTCAATCATAATCATTCATGATACTGCCTTGTTTGTATCACACCTTGTATCTTATTAACCTTCTACGAACAATGACTCCAGTTGTTTTTTCCCACTAAGGTAAACAACTTTGCAATGGTGGACCAGATAAAGGAAGTCTAGACGATCCGGTGGGTGGCTGGTAGAAAATTACACCCATTGCAATGAGTAATAAAAATTGGTGGTAGTTCGAATCATTGTCGATCTAAATGAAAACCAAGTAGGCGACCTAGTTCACCTAGTACGGGAGGAGGTACAATAACTATGGTGGATTTATACAACATTTGCATAGTCCTAATAGAGATGTGTCCTAATCATAGTCTTAGTCATAATTTTAAGCATATACAGGGTGTTTAAAAAAACCTAACTTCCTTGCTAGGGTAGGTAGAACATTGCAAAATAAGTTGGGTTTGCTCAGTAAAAAAATGTCGTAACGCCATCCGTTTTCAAGATACAAGGTGTTGAAACAATATTTTTTTTACACATTTTTTACGATTATGTTGAAACTACTGGCAACATTGTGATGGAATTTTGTAAGGAATGTTTCTTGGAATCCGACACATCGCATGCATTCGTTTTTATATCTGACTCTCATAGAGGGCGCTAGTTACACGGTTCGTACCGAGTAGTTTTGAACATAACTTTTTTGAGGTTAGATTTTTCAATCCAAATTTGATGTGAACTTGAACATCATTCAATTCCACACCAAATTTTGATCAGGGCATGAGGAGCTAGGGGCTCCTTTCCTCTCCAATATTTTGCTCGCTTTTTTTGTTTATGCAATTTTCATCAGTATAAAAAACATTTTTACATAAAACACCTGTTCGATTTCGATAGCATTTACCGTTTTCGTGATGAATCGATTTAGAAATTCTGCTGGATAACTTATTTTATCAAAAAAATTTGTATCTTTCTGTGTTTATCTCAAATGAAGCGAAATCGAACCACGATTATATGAACATTTCAATATTGACATTTAATTAGTAAACTTTATAAAAGTATTTGGAAAAGCATATAGATAGTAAAATTACTGTAATTATATTTTGTCCAAAAATGCTATACTTATTTGAATCAAGTAATACACCTTACCTGGATTATAGATATACGTTTTTTTCACCACAGTCCCAGTTAGGTATATGAATAGCGAGATAACTACTGAGAAATTGTAAACAATGTTTGAATAAACACATCCTTGATAACTTCTCTATATTCTTTTCACAATGTCATTGCATATTTACCCGAATAAATATTTATAGCTTCTCATTGTTTTTTTGTTTGAGATATTGAATGAGAACATGAAGGATACTAAAAATCTCTAATCATATTGATACCTCCTATGAGAATTTAACGTATTAATGATCCCTGACCCTGATATTCGAGAGCTAAAAATGTATTGTTACATGAGATTGTCTATCTCTTCCTTCTTTGAGTATTGAACTCATGACCACTGGTTTATTAGACCAGTGATCTGTCACTGAGCTAAAGAGGCTATATTCACTGATAAATCTCAATCTGCATGAATCATTAGATATAAGTTAATAATCATAAACAAAAATTGATGAAAATATAATGCCTCCTGTGAGAATTGAACTCACGACCCCTGGTTTACTAGACCAGTGCTCTGCCACTGAGCTAAAGAGGCAATATTTTCTGATCATTCCCAATCTGCATATACCGTGAGATATGAGTTGATAGTCATAAACAAAAAGCGATAAAAAAATACTGCCTCCTGTGAGAATTGAACTCACGACCCCTGGTTTACTAGACCAGTGCTCTGCCACTGAGCTAAAGAGGCTATATTTTCTGATCAACCTCGATCTGCGTATTGAATATTAGTCGATAATCATAGAAAAAACGATGAAAACATGATGCCTCCTGTGAGGATTGAACTCACGACCCCTGGTTTACAAGACCAGTGCTCTGCCACTGAGCTAAAGAGGCTATATCTCCTGATAAATCTCAATTTGCATATATCATTAGAATCAAGTGGATATGCATCAACAAAATCCGACAAAAACATAATGCCTCCTGTGAGAATTGAACTCACGACCCCTGGTTTACGAGACCAGTGCTCTGCCACTGAGCTAAAGAGGCTATATTTTCTGATCAACCTCATTCTGCGTATTGAATATTAGTCGATAATCATAGAAAAAACGATGAAAACATGATGCCTCCTGTGAGGATTGAACTCACGACCCCTGGTTTACAAGACCAGTGCTCTGCCACTGAGCTAAAGAGGCTATATCTCCTGATAAATCTCAATTTGCATATATCATTAGAATCAAGTGGATATGCATCAACAAAATCCGACAAAAACATAATGCCTCCTGTGAGAATTGAACTCACGACCCCTGGTTTACGAGACCAGTGCTCTGCCACTGAGCTAAAGAGGCTATATTTTCTGATCAACCTCATTCTGCGTATTGAATATTAGTCGATAATCATAGAAAAAACGATGAAAACATGATGCCTTCTGTGAGGATTGAACTCACGACCCCTGGTTTACAAGACCAGTGCTCTGCCACTGAGCTAAAGAGGCTATATTTTCTGATCAACCTCAATCTGCGTTTATCAATAAACATAAATCGATAATCATTGAAAAAACGAGAAAAACATAATGCCTCCTGTGAGAATTGAACTCACGACCCCTGGTTTACAAGACCAGTGCTCTGCCACTGAGCTAAAGAGGCTATATTTTCTGATCAACCTCAATCTGCGTTTATCAATAAACATAAATCGATAATCATTGAAAAAACGAGAAAAACATAATGCCTCCTGTGAGAATTGAACTCACGACCCCTGGTTTACAAGACCAGTGCTCTGCCACTGAGCTAAAGAGGCAATATCTCCTGATGAATCTCAATCTGCATATGTCATTAGATTCAAGTGAATATACATCAACAAAATCCGACAAAAACATAATGCCTCCTGTGAGAATTGAACTCACGACCCCTGGTTTACGAGACCAGTGCTCTGCCACTGAGCTAAAGAGGCTATCTTTTCTGATCTACCCCAATCTGCGTTTATCAATAAACATAAGTCGATAATCATTGAAAAAACGAGAAAAACAATGCCTCCTGTGAGAATTGAACTCACGACCCCTGGTTTACTAGACCAGTGCTCTGCCACTGAGCTAAAGAGGCTATATTTTCTGATCTACCCCAATCTGCGTTTATCAATAAACATAAGTCGATAATCATTGAAAAAACGAGAAAAACAATGCCTCCTGTGAGAATTGAACTCACGCCCCCTGGTTTACAAGACCAGTGCTCTGCCACTGAGCTAAAGAGGCTATATTTTCTGATCAACCTCAATCTGTGTATATCATTAAATAAAAATCGATAATCATTGAAAAAAACGAGGAAAACATAATGCCTCCTGTGAGAATTGAACTCACGACCCCTGGTTTACAAGACCAGTGCTCTGCCACTGAGCTAAAGAGGCTATATTTTCTGATCATTCCCAATCTGCATATACCGAGAGATATTAGTTGATAGTCATAAACAAAAAGCGATAAAAATATACTGCCTCCTGTGAGAATTGAACTCACGACCCCTGGTTTACTAGACCAGTGCTCTGCCACTGAGCTTAAGAGGCTATATCTTCTGATCAACCTCAATCTGCGTATAATATTGAATATAAGTCGATAATAGAAAGAAACGATAAAAACATGATGCATCCAGTGAGGATGCTGAAGAGGCTATATCTTCTGATAAATCTCAATACATATCATTAGAATCAAGTGAATTTTCATCAACAAAATCCAGCAAAAACATAATGCCTCCTGTGAGAATTGAACTCACGACCCCTGATTTACTAGACCAGTGCTCTGCCACTGAGCTAAAGCGGCTGTATCTCCTGATTAATCTCAATCTGCATATATCATTAGATTCAAGTGAATATGCATCAACAAAATCCGCCAAAAAATAATGCCTCCTGAGGAAAGTGAACTCACGACCCCTGGTTTACAAGACCAGTGCTCTGCCACTGAGCTAAAGAGGCTATATATTCTGATCAAATTCAAACTGCATATATCATGAGATACAAGTTGATAGTCATAAACAAAAAGCGATGAAAATATA